AGAGAGAGAGAGAGAGAGCGCGAGAGAGTTCTTCGGCAGCTGGAAAGTATTAATTAAAACGATCTCTCGACACGGCCTCTTGTTACAAGAGGATAAGAGAATTGCGTTACGCGCGTCGTGCGGTGAAGAGGCGTGCATTAAAATTCATTTCGATGCAAAAGAGGCAGAACAAAATTGTTTACGCGAACGCTTACGATCGCCAATGACGAAGTCTCCATTTATCTTTTGACTTCTCTAAACGATACTCGAATGAGAAAGATTTTTCTTTTAAATACGTTAAAGTACTTATTGAATATATTTTTTTTCTGCTATTCTCTCCGAGCTCCGGAAAAATAGATAAATAATAAATGAAAAAATATATACACAAATTAATTGCGAAGAAGCATGCTTTCAAAATCATTCAGACCAGAAAATTCAATGCGCACGATTGTTTCTCGCGACAGTCTCTGAAAGCGTGTCCGAGAGCTGTGTCGGGATTACTTCCAGCTGCCGAGCGCGTTTGATCTCGTTCGAGACGATCTCTCGGTACACAGCTGGTATCTTCCTATGTCCAGAGGCACGGAATATATTTAAATTGAACTCGCGCGTAACCTTGACTCGATTGCTTTCGAGTTATTTTCACATTGCTCGGCAGAGCGATCGAGGCCGGTGGGCCTCCGCATCGTTGGCAAATCCTACTCTCCCTCTTTCTCTTTTTCTCGCCGTCTCTCTCTCTCTCTCTCTCCGTTCTGCAGCCGAGCATGCACCTTGGTAGACCGATCAATAACGTATCTCCCGTGCCTATGTCTTGCGGCCGCGGTGCAGTATAGTCCGGCGTATTTTAACGGCGAAATTATTCTCCGGCGCTCCGGAGCGCGCAAATATTAAACACGAGGGGATCTTCTGTTTTCTCTTGCTTCCACATTAACGTCAGTTAATATATTTAATAACGAACGACTCCGCGTAGGCTGCGCCTCGACCCGGAATCAGGACAGTTTCAACATCATCCGGCGGGAAAAAAAAAAAACCTACCACCGCGAACACTCGAAGATCGCGCGCTGAATCTCGCGCAGCGAGCAGAACGCGATAGCGAATGATTTTGCGAATCATCGAGTAGAATGGCCTTTGACATCGGTGCGTTAATATTTTTTTTTTCAGTCAAACGACCGAATATTTCTGTCAATGTTCCTTTTGCGCGTGCCTCGTTAAAAAAAAAAAAAAAAATCCGAATTTCCGCGACCGGAAATTTTCACCGGGTGATTCCGCCGACGCCGCGCGCCGAAAGCGCATTCGACGCAATCTGATCGATGCGCCACCGGCGCGTTAACGCGGCCCCGCCGTTATGCAACTTACTGCACCAACGAGGTTGCACCAATGAGAGGTGGTGCCAAGGTCGATGCACCAGCCCGGCGCAGCATCGGGACGCGAATGTAAAAGGAGCGGCTTATCGTCGCCGGATTCACAGCGATATCTCTCTCTCTCTCTCTCTCTCTCTTTCTCTCTTTCTCTCTCTGCTATGCGCAAATACCACTTACGCGAAACTCGCCTCGCACAACCGACTGTTTCTTGCTGTTGTTCCGCCACGGTACGCCGTGTTTCCGCATTTATTTTCCATCGGGGGCAAATATTACAGATCGATGCAGCTTGAAATGCTGAATCCGACCGGAGCCGTATTTACATATTCATTCAATATTCATATTTGTACATTCAAGAGCGGATTATTCATCGCTCGATTTGTATTCGATATTACAAGATTATTTCACGCTAAATTGATCATTTTAAATAATGTTAAACATTGGCGCTTTTCAATAAATCTAAAAAGCTTCATTGCGGGGGAAAAGGCTTGCACGCGGAAAAGTGACTCGCGAATCTAAAAATAAACGTTAAGATAGGCAAATGTCGGCTGATAACGCAGGATGTCGAGCGCGCGGAATATGCAGCGGTCTTCGAGTATCTCCGCGCGTTAGCGGCTCTTGTGTCTGTTTTTATCAAATATTCCTTTAACACCTCACACGCCTGAAACTTCCAGTCGCAATTATTATTACATCGTCGACCTCTTTCCTCCCTTTTTGCACGCTTGAATGTCCACGTTGAAACTCCGTCGCCGCGATAACATTCTCGAATCGTGGTGAGAAGTCCTTTTCGCCGCGCGAACCTTAACGATATCGCCGATAGAATGTGGCACCCGCTATCGTACCCTGCATTCTTCGGGACGAAGGAGTTCCTGGAAGGCTTTTCACGGCTCTTACCGTACGTTATGGCTGTGAAATCTGCAGCTTCCCCGTGAAAGCCTGACGAAAAGACCAAAGACGTAGACGAACATGACGAACACGATGAACACGACGACGACGACGACGACGACGACGACGAGAAGGAACGCGAGAATCGACCGTCGTCTCAAGTCGCGCCGCGAAGAGAGGGGGCGACAGGGGGGGAGGAAGGGTGGCGTAGTTCCAAGCTCCTGGCGGCAGGCCTTAGTTCGAGACGGAGGGTGTCTTGGGCGGCTGGAAGGGGTTCCATTTCAGACACTCCGGATCGATCTCTTTGTAGACGGGGCCCCGTCTCTTCACCCTCTCCTTGTAGTCGTCGATCACGTCCTGGAATTATTTCAACGGCCCTTTTATCCACCGCCGCTCCAGGCGACGCGACGGCTTCGCGCACGGGCTCCACGAAGGGGGATAGATACACAATTGACGGGGCGTCGCGGGGGCGAGCACGTTCGAATTAACCGAATGATAATTAGCGTCGCGATCGTGCGCCCGATCATATCGGGAATATCGCACCCGTGCCGAATGATGAACGATTGTGAAATCGGATCGCTCTTGTCGCGCCGTAATTGCGTTAATAAGAGGCGTATGATATTTTCCAATACTCACGCGCTGCTTGCGTGAAAAATTGTTTCCTTTTTTGTTGTTGTTTTATCGACGTGACACTGTTTCCCGCTATCTTTGCGGTTTGATGACGAAGAAAAAAAACACACAGAGGAACAATACATCATCGCGGAACTTTGTCATAATTATTTATATCGCGATGAATTTGAATGATATATCGACATCGCGTAGAACTCGACAAATATGTACATACAATTTAAATTGAAGTTCTGAGATTAATTCTATAGACACTTTGCCTGATAGAAAAATGGCACCACAATAAAATGATTTTAGATCCGTGACATTTGACTTTGCAAATTAATGTATAATTTAAGACACAGATTTTCCGGAATAAATGGTTCTTGTACCGCAATATTGTTATCATTTCTTCATCTCGCTGTTCCTTAAAATATGCAAAGTTTCATTGAATAAGACTCGCTTTAAGGTGCACCGCTTTTTTGTCAAACAAAGTGCAATAGCAATTTACAAGTAAAATTTGTACAATCAGCAAATCGCGTGAGACGATATTTCGAATTAATCGCACTCTAAATATTACTTTAATTTTTTAATTGCTAGCAAACCGCCTCGACAATTTATTCAAGCGGACACTGTTGTGCTTATCGTGGGTCCCTAGCAACGATTTCTGAAATCAGGCGCGATAAATCTGGCGGCACGATGACGCGCGTAAGAAAGAAGAATGAACGCTATCTCCTCGCGTCGGAAAGGAACGAAGGGGAGCCCTTGCGTGTATATGTGCGGCGGATTACAATAACAAAAGAGCGCCTACCTGTTTCTTCAAAATGATATGCTTGCCCTTCCAGTACTTCATCATACCGAGGGCCTGAAAAGTGCTGACAATGTCGTACGTATCGATGGCCATTTCCTTGCTGATATCTGAAAGAAGAATCACCGTGCTTGCCTCGATAACGGTCTCTCTTGGCCTCCTCGACTGGAATAGAGAGTTATCGTCGGACGGGAAAGTCCCGGCGGGAGCTCATAATCTTACAGAGAAAATTCGTTTCCCGCGACAGCAAACGCAAAAAGTGACAAAATTGAAATACGAAAAGGATAGACAGTGAACGAAACATATCGCAAATAAATCATCAATTGACACATGAAGCAACGAGAATATTGTAACAATCGTAAAACATGTGTGAAAACATGCGCAAAATTTTGCAAAAGTATCTTCGCCTTTCATTAGCTTCATTAATTAGCTGCAACTTCGACTCTTGAAGTCCCCGGCTGAAAATGCATGTTCGCTTCGCATGTCCATTCATTTGCATTTAACGCGATTCTGATATAAATAATAATAAACTTAAATGAAGGTCTAGTCAGTTGCGAAAATGCGGAAATGATGAATCATATATAATCTGCTGCGGTTTTCAACAGCAGGGCGGTTTGTCCCGCCCTCGCTGCCCGCCCGTGGATATAATTATTCGACCGCTAAAACCAGTTACGTCGGGAAAACTTGACCGTCGGATCAATAACAATGCGGTGTAAATCCTACGCCGGCGATTCCTCGTTTCGAGGCACAAAAGCTGAAATATCCATCGAGAAATATCGCGGGCGACTGCACGTAAACTGTTCATAAACTGGGCGGAATAAATCGTTGAAAAAGCGAAGAACAGAAAGCTTCGGAAGATCTCTTTTTTTTTTTTCAATTTGAAAAAATCTTTAAAACATTGTTGAAACACTCTCGGAGTTTCCGCGCGAATTATGCGAATTTCGCGAATGTAAATTCTTCGAGAAAAAATTACGCTTTCAAGGCGGGCGTCGAGTGTTGGCCGTTCAAAGAGGAGAAGCCCGCGGGTCGCATTAGCGCACTTTCAATTCGCGCATGAATATTTAAATACCGGAGTGCCGAAAGTGCGCTTTACGTGTGACCTACCTTTGACAGAGATCTCCTTGCCGCCGAAGGTGCAAAGGTACTGCAGCAGTACATCCTTCCAGTAGCTGCGATATGAGATCAGGCCGAGATCCGACAGCGGCTTCTCCGGCGAGCCAATCTTCTTCTCGACCCTCGTCAGCAAGTAACCTGCGCAGCAAATTACATCGATCATCGTTAATTAATAATCGCACCTGAGACTTTCCGCGCGCGTGACATTCTGCGCGCGAATAAAAATAATTTCCGTGAAAAAGAAAACAAATACAAGGGTGATGAAAAACTTCAGATACTTTCCGCGTTGAAAAAAAAAATCGTGCTCGAATATCTTATTATAATTATAATGTGTAACGATTCAATCTAGAATTTAATTAAAATTGAATTAATTTGAAAGGAAGGGGAGAGGCGGCAATACGGTTTTTCAAGTCATAACTGATCGGGATTGGCGGGTTTGCGGTGAGCAAAGTTTCTCGAGCGTAATTGAATAACGAAATCCTATTATACACTTAAGTAGGAGAGAACAACTAGCGACGGGCCCGACAGCAATGGACCCGGTACTGCCCGTCTGCTCCCGGTTGAACGTCCGTTCCGCCTCGTTTGTCCGAAGTATTTCGCGACGAGGCATCAAAGAAAAAACGTATAGACAGTCGGGGGAGGGGAACTGCGAGCGGGGGCACCCCGAGGCGTTTCGTGCCGCGGCCCGTCTGGTCGCTGGTGAATCGGCGAAATCGTCCGTTGCGCGCATCTGTTCACGTCAATGGAATTATCCGACGGACCGGTTAAAAACCCGTTTCCGGAGAGGGTGACTTAAATGCCAGATCCAGATCTACCGCAACCCGGCGGTGGAGAGCGAGTCGCGGTTGATCGATAACGCGCGTGCATTTAAACGCCGCTGCGCGATCGATTGGCGCTCCTCTTCTTATCAGCGGCGCAAAATCCAAGACCGGAGCGTGAAACGGGACCTCGCGAACGGAGCATTAATTCGCAGTCTAATAATTAAAGCGGTCGAATTATTGAACAAGCCTGGTTATCGAAAATTGACTGATAATTCGACTTCATTTTCATCATTTTCATAGTTTCGGCTCTCGATATCTCTGGAAGATAATTCGGACGAGTAATTTTCTAGTTTAATGATATTTACGCCGTGAATCTGAAAATCGCATAACACCTCTACGATGACGTAGGTTCTCGGTGGAGTGACACGAGTCACCGAAGAACGCGTGCGGGGCTCTCCATCGAGAGAGACGAGACTAATCCGCAGGATTCAAGGCTGGAATATGTAAAAGGCAGCCCGGAGAAGCAGCGCCGGGATTTAATGGGCCGCGTACGCGCGTACAGCTCGTTCTCGTTTGAGTTTGCGCGGATTTCGCGCGGCGGAACCTGCATTATGTATAACCGATCCTGCCGCGCGCATACGGTATTGCAAGCGTGTGGGTGGCCGATGGATTTCGCGGGGATACTGTTTCGTTCGCGCTAAACGTCGCCATCGCATTCCCGAAATTGCCTCGGCAGAGGTCCCGCCGGCAAAGCTTCAAAAGCTCCTTCATTAGCAAAGTGAACTTTCGCCCTCTCCTACTCACTGTCGTCTTTCGCCGAATAAATCTTGCCGCCCGAAGACGTTTATTTAAAGTTCGGTGAATGCCGTTTTCGCGCGGCTAATGGATCAAAGCTGCGAGCTAATTAAGTGTTAAGAGATTACCTGCAGCGCTGCGCTGAGGAACGCACCTTGGATTTATTGTTTCAAGTCCCGTAATCTAGGAAAATATCTCGGCATACTTTATTCGCGGTATACTTTCGATATTTCGAAATCGATGCAAAAGTTTGTCTTCTACAGTATATTTTTAAATGTATAATTTGTCGTTTATTTCAAAAAAGAAGAATCAACACCTCTCTTCGAAGTGACACTCTGTACCGCAGATTATATCGCGAAACTTCGGACTCTTAGAAAGTAAGATAATTCTGGGTTTTTCATTTAAAAAATTATAAATTTTTTATCGCAAATAGAATTACCCCACGAAAATATTTTATCCTAATTTGAGTAGTCCGCGGGACACGAGCAAAGTGCAAGTTATTTTCATATTTCTCCGAGAAATTTCTTTATCTCTGGATGCTGCTCGCCCTAACAAAGATAAAATTTTATTTATATCCTAATGGTTCGTAGGTTCCACAAATTGGAATTTTCGGAAAGATGTATCTATCCTGTGCGGCTTCTCCGGAGGTCTCAATCCGAGCGCCGCCCTCAAAAGTGCCGTCTATCATGTATTTATTACGCATCCGATCGTGCGATCTATCGCCGAGATTTCCAGGCTCGAGCCGATCCGTTCAACATTTCCTCGCGTTTTCCACGAAAATTTCTTTTCATCCCGCAAACGAGGCCGAACGAACGAGCAAGCGAACAAGAGAACGAGAGAGAGAGAGAGAGAAAGAGGCGTCCTCGCGATACACCCGGATCAGGACACCGATCCTGGCGTCTCCCCGTTCCCGTTCCAGGGTATTCCCGGCCGGCGATGGGTTCAACGACCATGCCGCCTCTCTCCTGTTCCACGCCGTTTCCATCTCCTCCACCTTCGCGGGACCGTGTATCTCCCGCCGGCAGAGAGGACACTCTACCCTTTCCCATCCCTTCCGCCCCGCTATACAGACTCTCTCCCTTCGGCACTTTGCGGGCTCTCACCCACTCCTCCCCCCCCCCCTCCTCGCCGCTGATTACTTTGGGTGGGTTGAACGCATTCATTACGCGTCCGCCGTTCAGTTTGCAGACTTTCGGGATCGGTGTGGGGGTGAAAAAGCGGAAGGGTGGGAGGGAGGGAGAGAGACAGAACCGGGGGCGGAGGGGAGGAAATTCGAGAGTGGAAATTCGGGAAAGAGAGGAAAACGGTGACCGCCATCGGGAGGTGGGAGGAAGGAAGACGGATCGGCGTGACAGGGGGGTTGCGCCAGCGGGGGCGTCCCGCTCTTTCGGGCAGGGTCGGCTCGATGAGGGGCGAAGGACGAGGGCGCGGATTCGCGAAAGTGCGCGAATGGCGAAAATTGGGCACTATTGAGAGTGGGCTCGTTGCGCTTTCACTGACGTTTTAATTTTATTTTTCTAATTTCGTCGGGGATATTCGTCTTCACCGCAATTTCGTGAAATATCGGCGGCAAAATGTATCGGGATGTTCATTATAATAATTACTTTCAAGAGTGATTCTTAATCACTGGATGACACATTGTTATTTCGAAAAAAAAAAAAAAAAAAAAATAGAAGACCCCGCGTCGTTAAACTGAAATATATCGATAAATGAGCTCGGAATTTTAACTGCGCCGGATCTGAAAGACGTTAAATAGATTCCACGATATTATTAATGTTTGAAATTAAAAATAATATACAGTGAGCTTAAATTATACAGTTAAAGAAAAAGAGACTTCAGTCTCATATATTCTCGTTTTTATTTATACTCAATAAAGTGCTATTTTAAAAATCTCCATCTGTTTTCTATTCTTATTTACACTAAAAAGTTACTTTTCCACCTAAATATTCCCGTCTGTTGGTTCGAGAAATTCCCCTACAAAAGATTTATCACGCTCAACGCGAGCGGAAAGGGTTGGAAAGGGTTGGAACCGTGAAACATGCGGAATGCATGCATCAATGACGTAAGACGATGCGGGCTATTGCACTCGAGGGCTGAATTCGCTCGGGGCGAGTGATTGCAATTTTTCTCACGGACCATTCATCTTTCAGATATCGCGGCGGCCTCGAAAAAAAATCCGTAGGGGGGGGGGAGGGCCCGTTTCGTCTGGCCGGGATACTTACACACGAGAGACGCGCGCTGTATGTGTGCGCGTATCCGCCCTTCGTCCCGACGAAGGCGCCCTGTCGGTGAGAGATGCTGTAAGCCGCGCACCGATCCTACCCAGTCGCAGCAACGTTGCGGCGGTGACCCCTCTCGATCCCTCTCCCCCCCCCCTCACCCATCGTCGCGTACCCTTCGTCCCTAAGCATAGGGAAAGAGCGTCGGTGACCCTGCCAATCCTACAGTAGGGATAGTGGAGCGAGGTCACGAGAGGTCATACGATTTCCGAGCCCTTCGGGCGCCCTGCGTCGGCTGAGCGAGGGGGATATAGGAAACTGCGGGGGCGGCGCGAGGGGTTCAGCGGGGGAAAGGGAGGGGGGGGCCTGCGCGGCGACGGGTAGGGCAGGTACAGGAGAGAGCCCCGCTGTTGCAGGGATCAAGGTGTGCACGGAGCGGGGTCTCGCCCAGGAGAGGAGGACGCCGCGCCGCGTGCGTGAGACAGGAAACGCGGAAGTGTGTGTACGCGTAGCGGCCGCACGCGCGTATCTGCACGCGTGGTGCGCGACGTCGACAGCGTCGGCAGCGTCGGTGGCGTCGGTGGCGTCGGCGGCGGCGGCGGCGGCGGCGGCGGCGGCGGTGGTGGACGTGGGGGTCGATCGATGCGGCGAGACGCCGGGCATCGCACTTTCCGCAGACCACTTCGCTCTCCAACCTACGGCCAACGCCGTTCACCATCACCATCGCCAACCACCACCACTACCACCGTCACTGCCATTACCGGGGGACGACGCTGACGATACCGCGATACTGAGGTGGTATCGGTACGTTCGTTTCGGTACTTTGAGAGCTTCGCCGCGCCGCGCCGCCTCGGATATTGATTCCTGTTGGAGAAATATTGAATCGCGCGATCGAGTATTAGCGCAATTCAAAATATTGACTTTTCATCGACAAATAATTGGAAATAATTAGACATAACAATGATAAGGATATTCATAAAAGTTGGGAAATATAGATAGATCGAGGAAATGAAGTAAAACGACGAGGCGGTCAGCGATGAGAGAACTTCAAAAATCACGCGGGGGAGGCTCGAATGTATTTTCGCCGCTGCAGTATTGCATTTCGTAATTCAATCCTTGAATAAAACTCGCTTTATACACACGTCGAATGGTGCGCGCTGCAGGAAAATAAATGTTATCAAATTCACTCGGCGAATGCACTCGATATTTCGCGTAGGGTGCGCGAGTTTGTAGCGTCGGCCTTGCACAGTCGAAATACAGTCGGCGGCGGAGTCGATGGCACCGAGTGCAGAGGGGGATGACGGAGAGATGAGGGGAAGAGAGAGCCAGAGAGAGAGAGAGAGAGAGAGAGAGAAAGAGAGGATGCTGTCTCGCTCGCGGAAAAGCCGGCGGGGCTGCGAAACCACCCCCGTCGACCGACCGACACACCGACGGCACAGTACGTCGACCCTCGGCCAACCCCCCGACGCAACCCTTCCCCCCATCCTCTGTCCGTTACTACTGGTGTAGCAGCGCCGTGATCCCTGCCCGACGCCGACGCCCGCTCGGCATCAATGAAAATGACGTCACGGCAAAAAGCCCCGCGTTTAATTATCAACGCTACGCTTCGCGTCGAGATGAGTGTGGGCGTCGCGCGCGCGCGCGCGCGCGCACGTCCGCTTGTGTGTAAGTGTGTGTGTGTGTATGCGTGTGCGTAAGTGTGTGTGTGAGTGTGTGTGTGTGTACGCCTGTGCGACGCTGGCGACGACGTCGATGAGGAATCGCCACATGTCGAGCTCGTCGTGGAATTGGCGTGAGACGGACGACGAGAACGATGAAATTTCGCAGTCTCTTGCTCGCGCGTTTAGCGTTCAGCGCACTTGTACGATCTCCGATCATGTGGCCAAATCGATCGCAATCTCGAATTTAAAGAGCGACAAAAGATAAAAAGCATAATGAAAGAAACGAGAAATAATAAAACTCGAAAATTTGACAGAGAAAAATTGTTGCTTAGAAACTCGCGTTCCAAGCTGAATGTCGTTTTCTCGCGATATATTTTCTTTCGGGCGAATTCCAGGTAGCTGTCGAAGAGCAGCCACGCTACGCGAGAACGTATTGGCGTTAATGGCTCGCGAGACTTTTTCATTCGGCCTTCCGGCGGTTCAACGGCCAAGAGCGTCGGGAAGAGTCGTCGTTTGAACGATCGCATCGTTAGCGGTTCACCGCAAACACGCGTCCAGACACGATCGTCTTCGTCGTCGTCGTCGCGAAACCGCGGAGGCGTGCGTACGGAGGCACTCCTATTCCTAATTTGGTAATCCTTTCGATTTCAACGGGTGGAAGGATGTCGTCATCGGCCAAGCCGAGTCAAGGTTACCCGAGAACCGGCAAAAATATGTATCGACGTATACTCACTGAAATCGATGAGCAGCCGGCCGTAGCCTTGTCTCTGGTAAGGCGGTAGCGTGAGGATGCAGGATACGTTGTAATTCAGGAAGGAGTTCTTCTCCTGAAACACAAATATTAAGATCCCAGTTAGCATCAAATGCATACGCGCGCAAAAAAAAAAAATTAATTACAGTCACAATAATTTTAATTAATCAACGGCTTATTGCTTCTGCAGAAAAATTAATGTTATTCAGTCTTCAAATTGTCAATTATTGTTACAAGTCTACTTTAAACGATTTACAATTCGCGAACAGATTTCGAAATAAGATATTGCAATATTAAAATACTATTTATGAATAAAATATATATCTCTGCGAATTTTACGTATTGCAGGAATATTATAATGTGACAGAACTTGTATTATACGTTGGTCTTATTATGTATTTTTCGAGAAGATTGGATAGGACACGAATAGTCGACGAACCGTTAACACGAGACAAATACAACTTTGGGTTATCTGGGCATTGTCGGTTGGCTTCGGTTGAACAAAGGAATAATACAAGAATCAGTTAGGAATTCAGAGCCGTTCTAGGTCATCGCAGAATCATCTACAAATTGAGCTACCGATCTCGATTGTGCGATCCGCTTGCCTTCTTTATTATATTATAATTATTTAAGTTTCATACATACGTATGATATTATTCTGACCCAATAATTGTTATTAATTATTTAATCAATATCCATTCCCCATTCTGTCCCTTACAATATATATTCTAGTTTTGCGAACGTTGCGAATGTGTAGATTATGCTACATATAAAATTATAGACAGAAGTCCATCTCGACTTCTGTCGCGAATCGTACAAGATCGTCCAAAGTAAATTTTAAGAGACAATTTCGATGCTGCTATTACGAACAGAGTTCACCCGAAATTTTATTAACAAGATACGCGTGTATCTGCTTCACACCGCGTAGAAGTGAAGTTACAAGGTAAAGCTCTACGCGGCGCATTCGCCGCGAAAGATATGATCGATGATATTCACCGGAGAACACGCCAAACGCATTCCGCGACTGTTGACGTTAATGCAACGGAAATGCATCGCGCTTTCGCGGCGCAAAAAGATAAGAGTGTGCGCACTGCACAACAGCAGCATTATATCTCTCTCCCTTCGCATAGAATGAACTGTAAATATCTATGACACGTCAGTCGGCAGAGTTCCGTCACGTGGCTCGAAAAAAATTAATCAGATCATCATCATGAGCCCCGCGGGACGGGACTTCTCTTAAAAGATCGTCCTTAATTTTTCAACGTCATCTTATAACGGACGCGCGGATATCGATCATGAAGTCACGCACGAGCCTTGGAGGAGAAAAGATCGCCGCGATTTCGAAAATCACGCTCTCAAAAATAGAGCATCTGGCCGAATAAATAAGAAGCGACTTCTCGTATTTTTAACGCCACTGCGGTGGGCGTGCGCGCACGTCGAGCTGTGCGCGCCCGCAGATTAGATAAAATCCCTTTCCGGGATTACGGGACCGATATCGGGGTTTAAGCCAGTCGTTTATTATGAAAGCGACGCGTGAGCCGAGCTTTCGAAATCTCGCTAAGATAAATAGATCATGAGTCCAAGCATGTCCGTGTATCGCGCTTGGACTCGCTACGCTTCGGAGAATTCACACTTATCGCGTCCACAAGCGGGATGATGCGCCGTATACGGAGATGCCTGATGTTATCAAAAGGAAAAAAAAAAAAGAAATCAGTCGAAGGCAAACATCCGTTTATGCTACTTGAACTTTATTTTATCTGCACTATCCGACATTGTTGCTTTATTTTGATTACTCTATTATTTCCCACCGTAATAGAAATAGTTCTCAAACTCATCATATTTACCGATATAATTTATGATATTCTGAAGCTGAAAAATATCGAATACCTCGAAAGCTAATTCAAATTTTTCTCCGCTCGTTCCAGAATAATATATACCAATGCTCGGTGGTTTCCTAGTGTTAATCTGATGTTTGGCACGTTCAGTCCGGTATTGTTTTGAGCGCAAAAAAATATATAGAAAAAACACCTTGCATATCGCAAATGAAAAATCGACGTTGGAAAATATGGGGAGAAAAATGCGCGCCGGATGCCGCACGGTTAATCCAATTGATGCGATACGTCGTTTATCCGCGAGGGCATTTCCACGTGCGAGCCGCGTGTTTAAGCGTCGCATTGAATTCCGCTGAATGTAAACAATTTTTTAACAGTCGGCAGGAAGCGTTATATCCCATGTATTTTCCGCGACGTCGCGGGACGCGATTGTTCGATGGAGTAGCCGGGGTCATCCGGCGGACACGCGAAGGAAAGCGGAAAACCGTCTTCCATTTCTCTTGCCGTCGATCCTCGTCTGAAAGAAGAGCTTAATCTCTCAGACGGGATTACGGGCTATGCCCCGGGGACGGCGACTATCATTTCTCGCCAAGTATCCGACGGGGCATTCGAGGATATCTCGAATGGGTGGGCGGACGAAAGGGATATATTTCGAGACAAAAGTATTTCTCGGAAATAGATTCGCGCGTGTTCAACCTGCGATGAGGGATCCTACGCTGGAGAATCGGGGCTCATCGCGCACCTGGCGACCTTCTCTCTCCCTTTCGCCGTGCGAAAACGACCGCCCGCTATCGGAACGAGAAGAAATGCCGGGATGAGAGAAGCGCTGCTTTTCCCACGAAAAGAATTAACAAGTCAATTTAGGATTCCCTGTTTTCGCGCGAAGAAAATTATTTCCCGCCTGCAAAATTCTGCAAATCATCATCCCGTATGCGGCGGTCGAACCGAAGTAGTCTCGGTGGTATTCGGACACCCGGTATTTCCGGCCATACGACGGCCGTGTGCTGTTGCTAACTGCCGAGGCAGCAACGGTCCGAAGGACACGACCCGTGGTCGGTGTGTGCGTGCACACGGCACGCCGGGCGGCCCGCGTGTGCGTATCGGCGTGTTAACTTGGTGAAGTGGAGAAGGCGAAGAAGAGAAAAGAGAGGAGCGATAGACACGCGGAGATGAAGAGGGGGAATATCGCGCGCGACGGGGAAAAAGGCGAAAGGGGGAAATTTGGGCCCCGGGAGTGAGAGCAACCGTTCGAAAGGCCCGACGGAGAAGGGGACCGGCAAGGGAGCCAAGGGCGGAATAGAATTTCTGTATTAGTATATTCTGGAATAGGGATGCTAACGACGGCACGGATCGCTCACCGGGGAATATCGATACTTCAACTGTGGCAGAATCGCCGGATGAATGGTGTGGAAGACTCCTGGAAGGGAACTTTAGCGTTGAATGTCACGAATGAGAAATCGTGTCCAATTTTTTTCTTGCGTCATACGTCGGAATTAATTTCCTCGCCTCTCATCATTCGATTTTATATCAATATTTGCTTTAAATTTGTTAATCAGCTTCTGATAGCTCTGGACTCTTCAACAAAAACTGATGGTGCACTTGTTCCAAAAACGTCTAATTATAAATGTAGGGCGTTAAGGTATAAATTCACATATCAAAGAATCCTTTTTTGGCCGTCATGAATTAATAAGCAGCTATCAATCTTAATTGCAGCTGTCCATTTTCGAAATGTAGGGCACATAAATGTATAGATAGAAATATATACGCATTTAATAATGCAAAATATTTAAAAAGACTTTTTATTATTCTGCATTATTAAAGCATATAAAAAGATATTTTAACCGTGAAATTTATATCATGAAATGCGAGTGGTAATGTAAAAATAATTGATTTTCATAATGGAAATCCACAAGGAAAATATTCATTGCTATTTTTTGCTTTGTAATTTAATTAATATAGCCGCAACGAGAACACGGGACTTAAGAATCGGAGCAATGGAGAAAGTACAGTGATTTAGTGTAGGAGGGCGACCACACTTCTCGACCGCCGGCGAAGTTAGTGAGACAAATCGACGGGAATGGAAATGAGTCAGCGAGCGAGTTCTCAAAACTCAAGTCGTCCTCCGATCCTGCTCGCCCATCGTTCCTATGCGATATAAAATATATAAGGTGTCCCAGAAGCATCTACTTCGAAAGATATTTCGCGAACGGAGTTCACGATTGTCTCAAATTATACATATTACAGCGAATCTCGTCGTTTCTCTCACGATTCAGTGAAATTTCGGCACTAATCGGCGAGATTTTAGTATCAATTAGGTTCGCCGTTTCGAGCAGCTGAATAAGAGAGGACAGCAATCGAACATTGTGCGAATGAAAAAGTGCTTCGTGGGCAAAGCGGAAAGCGTAGGGGGGGCTGAAAGGCAGAGCGAGAGGAGGGCAGAGGGGAGAGAGAAGGTAGGAGAATCTGGGGCCCGCGACGTCCTTGGGCCCGG